GATTTAAAAAAGATCCTGGCCCATAGCTCTCGTTTACCTCCACAAAGACACCGCTCAATCGTTGATTCAAACTAATTTACAACAACATATTGGGGCCAATTCTGAATCAAACTTGTTAAAAGTTAAAGATTGTTATAGATATTAATGTACCAAGGGAGTTAGAATGGCATGATGGCCAACGCGGATCCAGCCCGAGGGATGGATGTTGGCCGATGGGCATTATCATTCGCTAACTTCCGAGGTGCATTCAGTATTTTATATTTCACGAAAAATTGCAAATTAATTCACAATTTAGAATTATTTTAATGAAAATAAGGTAGCCTTGAGGTTACTAAGCACATTGTTTGCAATTTTTCAAATGTCGTTCGCGTGGCTCCAAACGAACAAAACGATGAATTTTGAGTTTTCTGAAGAAATAGCGGCAAATCCGAAAAAGCCAAGGATTCTTTACTACCCTTAAAGTCCAGGCAAACGTACGAGAAAGAATTTAAAACTTTTAACGAGTGGAAACGGAAAAATCTTTAATGGCATAAACGAAACTGTGATGATGGCTTACTTTCAAGACCTGATGAGTTAGTATCGTTTAAATATATGTTTACTAATAATGGTCCTTCTTTATATAGTCTGAAAAATACAGCGCTAATTCCTAGTGGGCAAAGTAGGTATTCGTACTTGAAAGCGACTTTCCTGAGAAATGAAAATATTGACATTTCGAATTTCAAATAATAATTGATTGCATTCCTTAAGCAAAAGTCGAAGGGATATTCTCCCAAAAAATCACAAGTCTTGACAGGGGAACAAGTTTTAATGTTCATAAGAGATGCGCCTAACGAAACGCATTCTCAAACGTTTTCTCAAAATATGTTGTTTCAGGTGATTTGGTGCTTTAAGAAAAATTGAGATGGTGCAGCTCACTATCGAAAATGTTATTGATAAAGAAAGTGTCATATTAGTGCAAATTCCAAAAACTAAAACCGATGAATCCAAGTCGTTTACTATAACAGAAGAGAAAGAATTGGGTGTGTTGCAGTTGGTTCGGAAGTACGCAAGTTTAAGATCACCCGGTTTAGCAGAGAAAAGATTTTTTTTATCGTATAGAAGCGGACGCTGCACAGCACAATCCGTTGGGAAAAATACGATAGGAAGTGTTCCATCTATTATTGCTCGCTACTTAAAATTGGACTTTGGACTTTTTAGTCGAAGCACGAGGCAGTTTTGAAACGTTGAAAAGGCACGAAAAACAAAGCAGCATAATTGATTGCAAGTTCTGTTTCCTCAGCAAAAGGATTTTCATTACACTTACTTCAAGAGGAAGCTATCCACTTAGAAAATTCTGTTTTAATCGGAAACTTTCATCTACCATCTGCTGCTTCTTCTTTTATGTCAGGGACATTTCAAAATTGTAATTTTTATTTCGGGACACATTAGAAACTTTTTTGACTTTTGTACCTTCTGTCGTAGTTATTAAAGTTGAATAAAGTTGTTAAAAAAATTGGAGGACGTTATGGTTCATAACAGCCTGTCATATGTAATAGCCTGGTTATTATTGAGTTGTTAATGTGTCTGGAAAAGCACTTTGTGACATCATTAACAAACAGAAGGAAAAGCACTGCACCAAGATGACTGCCTTGCGGCACTCCTGAGGTTACATTAATAACTTTTAATTGATGGCCATTTATACTGAATACCTGCGTTCTGTGCGTTAAATAAGATCTGATCCAAGATAAAATACTTCCAATCACGCCATAATATTTTAATTTGTTTAAAAAAAGTTTTATATCAACGCGGTCAAAAGCCTTGGAAAAGTCAGTATAAATGGCATCGACTTGATATCCTTGTTCCATTGAGTTGTTGATATAATTAGTAAATACTCAAATAGGTATTTTACTGTACTACGATTAGGTAAAAAGTTAGTTATTTAGGTTGGTGGATGGAAATATTATTTTTAAATGTTATAATCAATCATATATATTTAAATAGTTAGAATCAAGAACTTTAGATAAAGAGCACAAGGAAGCGATAGGTCTGTAATTTTTGACTTCATTTTTGGAGCCAGATGTATGCAAAGGGATAATAAATGGGGATTTCCATTGTTCAGGACATGTGCCAGAATCGAGAGAAAGTTGAAAAAGAAGGGTAATTGGCCAAGTGAAAGTTGGACTGCAATATTTTATAAAGAAGGCAGGAATACCATCTGGTTCGGGATTTAAATTATTTTTCAAATTGGATAATTTGTGAAATACAATGTCGTTTGAAATTTTAATTGAGCTAAGAATATTATTACTGTGGAATACATCTAAATTAGGGACGTCTATATTTTGGTTTTTATGGCTTTTATATGTACTCTGAAAAAATCAGCAAACATATTACTACAAATAGTTTGAGGGTTGTTCTAATTTTCCTGATTGTGTACCATCTAGTTGGGCATTCCAATGTTTTTTCTTAATGAATTGATATAGGTTCAAAAATATTTAGGGTTGGTATTGATATTGTATTCGGTGTAAGATATAAATTTCTCATAGTCTTCATGAATCAAACTTTTAACAGAATTTCTGATTTCTTTAAATTTATCAAAGTATCCTATATCATGACTAAGTTTGAATTTTTTATATAATCTATTTTTTTCTTTATAAGTAATTTAGTGCCTTTGGAGAACCAATTTGAAAATTTATTGTTAGCAACAACAGATTTGGGGATAAAGATTTCAATAGCCGTTCTTAGAACGCTGTAAAAAATATCAAAATTTGTCCTATCATTAGTTGAAAGCAAACAATTCTAATTTATAGTAGAAAAGTAGTCGTCAATTTCATCATAGCTAGAATTTTTGAAGTTAAGTTTGTAAGTTATTAGTATTACGGAGAGGTGTATGAGCGAAAGACAGTGTTATTGGTTGTCTAATTTGTTCGTGAACCGGGAGCGACACATAGTAAGGAAATAAATTAATTATTAAATACCGTATGACGTAGGTATTGTTGGTTGTCTAACTTGTTTGTTGCGAGCGATATCCTTAGACCATATTAGTAATTTACGCAACTAGTTCGGGATAGCCTGCTTCCCGCATGAACGCTTGTTTGAGGCACGACCGAAGGGAGTGCCGCATTTGCGTGAATGCGGGAAGCAGGCTCACGAACGTGTTGTGTACTTTAAGCGATTAATTTTCAAAAAAATAATAAAAAAACAAAACATTAGCGAAACAGCTAAACACAAGCGCAATAGTCGAGCAGCAGGTGAATCCCAGGCCAGCGCGCATTCTCGAGTGCCTCACACTCTAGCGACGTGGACAGGCAGCGGCTCGCAGTATCACCACTTCCACCAAGGCGCCAAATTCAAATTCTTGAACCGATTGCTAACAGTACAATATTTTTTGCGACGAATAAACCTTTAAACTGAAGAGATTAACTGTGAGTTATTTATATACAACGCCATTGACAGCGCCGTCAACACGTCACAATGTTGACACTACCCGAGAATTTTAAGGTTACCATGGCAACGGGAAGTTAAATGCACGTGTGCGGGAATTTCGACCTCCCGCACTCTGGTGAATGCGCGAAAGCTATCAAAAAAGGTCATGACTGCAAAATAGTAATTTACGCAACTAGTTCGGGATAGCCTGCTTCCCGCATGAACGCTTGTTTGAGGCACGACCGAAGGGAGTGCCGCATTTGCGTGAATGCGGGAAGCAGGCTCACGAACGTGTTGTGTACAATATTTTTTGCGACGAATAAACCTTTAAACTGAAGAGATTAACTGTGAGTTATTTATAAACAACGCCATTGACAGCGCCGTCAACACGTCACAATGTTGACACTACCCGAGTATTTTAAGGTTATCATGGCAACGGGAAGTTAAATGCACGTGTGCGGGAAGTTCGACCTCCCGCACTCTGGTGAATGCGCGAAAGCTATCAAAAAAGGTCATGAGTGCAAAAAATAAATTTATATGATCTAAGGCGATATCTACCTAGCATACCCAAGAAAAAAAAACGCTAGGTCTAGGATTCGAACCCACGCTCTTCGTTAGAAGAGAACTAGACCTTAAATCTCGAGCCAAATCGCTCGGCCAACCTAACTCCTTTCTTCGAGACAATGAAATGAACTGTAATGTTAACACTGAATCAATCAATCAATTATATATATTATATATTTGAACGCTCGTTATAAGATTGTAATTACTTACTGTATTATCCAAAATAAAACAAAATCCACTTAAAAATAAAATGTGAATTGTTCACGCTACGTGCAATATGTTTGAGTTTGTGGTAATTCTTCATCCATCATCGACTCTGAATTTTTCACAAGCGGATAAAATTCATAGTGTTTCTTACATTTTGAGTAACATCGTGAAGAAATCATTCCTTGATTGCTGCCTTCACATAGACAGTATCGATTACATCCGTAAAACTCGGCCGTAAATGATACCTCAAGATGTTTTCGAGTTCTTCGTAGGGGTTTAGGCCGGAACTGTAGTTCAACATACATATGTTGTCTTCTTTCTAGATACCTTGTGGTCTGTAGTGATTTTGCATCTAATGACTCGAACGGAACTTATTAGTGAGTGATTGTAAGCCCTCATTAGAACCTTGTTACAAACTGGGCAAGTAAACCGTGCTCCCACTGATTATTATTGGCACCCTACAGGGTCAATTGGAATGGCAATCTGATTGAATCAATCAGACAGTCATTCCTTAAGTCACATTCATCAATCCATCAATTTTGCTCTTACACGATCAATCAGATTGTCAATTCTTCGTGAGACTGTCAATCTGATTGATCGTGTAGTACGTAATATTATCATTACTTACGATATTTTTTACTAATTCGTCATGGTTCTAATATATTTTTTGCTTCTCATTGTTGTTGGTCATTACAGCTCACTTAGGAAATACAACAACGTCCAAGTAAACATAACACTTAAACACTTCCAAATTTTTAAACACGCAAACAAATGCAACACACGATTATAAAAAGGTAATCTAAATTTATTAAGATTTTTTTGTTTGTTTTGTTGTATTGCAACTACACATCCATCATAAATTATTAAACAATTACCTACTTACGACTATTACAATATGTACATCACAAAAACCAAAAAAATGTAAATAAATAGAAAATCTTACAACCAGGACTGAGATAATTTACATTTGAGTTTCTTAGTTCTTGTTTTAAAAAAACCGTTACATTTACTAATACAACGTGAAGTAAACTAAAATGTATATACAGGAATTAATCTGACGATGTTATTGCAGGATCTGTACTTTTTTCTGGTGTACTACAACTCGTTGCTGCCTTCACTACGGTCGGACTCATCACTCTTGCAAACACTTGCCGCCCTTGGACACCTGAAAACAGTTTATCATTAAACAATTCTCACAAAATTTCCTGTCATTGTTCCAACACTACCATCGAGAACGCCCTAGAAACTGAAGAGTCAAGAGCGATCTAGAACGGTAATGTCTACCTAGAAGGCAGGGTCAGAGGTGGTTACACACTCAATAGTCTCAGGTTAAAGAAGACAGTTAGAGTGGACAATCATGGGAGTATACATCAGAAAAATATAAATTAAAATCTTGGGTTTCCGATACAAAAATAATTATATTCCGGTTACCGAACAGATGGATTGATTACGTGCGCTTCGGATGTCTATAAAGTGAACATCCAAACTTACACGATAACATCAAAATTAAACGTATAAAAAAACCGGCGGGATGTTTGAAACTATTTGTGGATGCTTATAAATGCATCTCATATTTTCATCTCATTGTCTTCCCTCACCCCTGAACTACATGAAATCATATCCAGTTTTTCCAAAAAATTTCAACATTTAATTTTGCGATTTTTTTTTAAGAGAACCCCTAAAAGTTAAAATAAAGTATGTATGTAATGTTAAAGTAAATGTAAAGAAGCGTGCTACTCGTATGTTTCAAATGAGTTTTTCCATTACAAAATTTCATCAACATTTTTGCAAGGACAAACTAAGTTGTAATTTTTAACTAAACTAACTCGTAACTCGTGTTTCTTCTTATGGCCTGAATACACGTAGTCGGAGTCACCTTAAAAAAACTGATTTACAAAAAACGAGACGAAATTAAAAACAAGTACCACATGAAGGCACAACTGAGAGTGAAAACTTTGGTTGATCTAAGCGGAAATGTGTATTAATTGTTAAGCAATGGGAAAAGGGGCCCGATTCAACTGCCGACATCCCTCAACAATAATATTATGGTTCTAAAAGATTACGCACTATTACAATTCCATCTGTTCGGTAAACGAAATATAGATTCCACGTCTTGGCAACATTAGTAGAGTTAAAGGTGAATGAGCCATAAGGTTTTCTTTTCGCGTGATGAAATGCTTGACAATATTTTATTCTAAATTATTTTGTCATTTAATTAATTCAATAATAAAATTTACAATGTCTCTGACAGATTGGAATTCATTTGAAAACCGATAAATATATTTAATTTACAATTTTTTTATTTAACTATAATATGTGAAGGGAAACATCTGTGACATGCAGACAATTAAACTGAAATTACATAAATATTTCAACTTCAAACTTAAAGTGGAAATACAGGGTTTTTACAAACGATTTTTTGGCGTAGTTGGCCATGAATTTCAAAAATCCCGCTGCGCTGAAATTATGCCTCATTATGTCAGTTCTCACTTGTCATTTATCTCAATATCGCAATGGGACATTCGTAAACGGAGAGTGAGTGTATTCTGTAACCGCTCGTTAGCAAGAACATCTGGCGAAATACCGTGATTTAATCATTCAAGAAACATCCTTAAAGGCTCACATTAGAGATGTAATCAACAGATTTGTTTGAAACTGGCAGTGTCAACAAAGGAAAATCTCCTGGAAGATCTCCAGTATCTGAGGAAGTTGTTGATGATTTGAGATGACTTGAGTAGAGTGAACATGTGCCTTGAACAAAATTTTCAATATTTACTGTGATGTTTAACCGCACCAAATTTGTTTAATGAATTAGTTCTATCATTGTTTAAGTATATTATAGTTGGACAACCTATACGGACAATCACTTTCCCATGTAGAAAAAAATGAATATATATTTTACATCTCACTCGCTTCACTATGAAGTGGCGGTACCTTACGAAAGGGGGTAAAAATAGTCCGTAAGCACGTGATGTCGATAAGGTAGTAAACGGACGTATTAATCAGTACGTTGTACAGGGAGCAGTCACAAAATAAGCAAACGTACGTGTTGAAGACTTTACTGTAATATATGTATATGTAGTGCATACCTGTTTCGAGGTTAAAGTAACAAAAATTTAATATTATCGCGGTATACCTATTATCCATGAACTGCATGGCTAACAAATATGCGTCCCTTCGTCCACTTTAAAGGTATACGAAATTAAACGACCACTACTTTAATTAATAAGTAACAAGTCATCTAGTTTGCCTCCAGAATAACTATGGATTATCATCAAACTATGAACACCAAATTAATTCAATATGAACATCTTCTTACGTATTTTTTTTATAAACAGTAGTCAAATCATTAAATACATATTATTTTTGAAACTAAAATGCATTTTATCCTAAGATTGTATCACAAAATATTCATCACCATTTAAATAAGTATATACGATTTAGACATCAAGAAATAAATTTAAAATTGCAAAAATTATACTAAAACAGCCGTAAATGTGTCTTGTATGTACGTGCTTATCAGTATGTAGGCATTTTAACGCACAGCAATAATTATTCTTGATGAGTAATGACTGATGACTACTGTAACACAATAAATCCTCGAAATCGAAAATTTAAAACACTGAAAAATTCAAATATGGGAAAATTGTAAAATCGAGAAATCGAAACATAAAAAAATCAAAAAAATTAAAATTGGAAAATCTAAAATTTAAAAATCGAGAAATTGAACAATCGGTTAATTCAAAAATCGAAACATCGAAACATTGGAAAATCGAAAAATAAAAAAAAATTGGACAATCGAAAATTTAAAAATTCCGAAAATTGAAAAATTGAAATATAGAGAACTGAAAACTCAAAAAATCGAAAAAAATTAATAATTTCAAAAATCGAAAAGTTAAAATTGAGAAATCGAAAAACTGAAAAATCACAAAATTGAACGAAATATCAAAAAATTAGGAAATTAAAAAATTGAGAAACAAAAAAGTCAAAAAAGCAGAGTCTAAAAATCGCAAACTTAAAAAATCGAAAAATTGAAAAATCAAAAACCTGAATAATCGAAAAATTGAAGAACTGAAGAACTGAAAAATCGAAACTTTAGGAAGTGGAGAAATGGGAATATAAAAAAATAGATTAATTGAGAAATCCGAAAACTAAAAATTCAGAAACGTCAAAATTTGAAAAATAAAAAAATATTGAAGAACTAAAAAATCGAAAAATCTAAAATTTAAAACACTGAAAAGTTAAAATATCCTAAAACTGAAAAATGGAGAAATCCAAACATCAAAAAATCAAAAATAAAAATAAAATTAAAAATCTAAAATTTAATAATCGAAAAACTGAAAAATCAACGAATCGAGAAGTCGAGAATTTAAAAATTGGACAATTAAAAAATCGGATAAATCAAAAATCGAAACATCGAAAAATCGAGAAACCGAAAAGCAAAAAATCGAAAAACCAACAAATCGAAAAATCGAAACATTGTAAAATTCAAAAATTGAGACATCGAGAAATCGAAAAATCAAAAGACAAAAAAAATCGAGGAGTCGAAAAATCGAGAAGTCGAAAAATCAAAAAATTGAGAAACCGAAGTAGGCCAAAATCGAAAAATCGAAAACTTAAATATGGAAAAATTGATAAAGCGAGATTGAATAATCAAAACATCGAAACATCCGAATCTCAATGAATTGAGATCTCAAAAAATTTAAACATTCGTAAATTTAAAAAATTAAAATATAGAACTGGAAACTCGAGAAACTGAAAAATCTAGAAATTTAAAAATTAAAATATGAAAAAGTTGAAAAATTGAGAAATTGAAATAAAAAACAAAAAACTGAAAATCCAAAAATAAAAAATAGAAAAATCTAGAAGTCGAAAAAATGAAAGAATCGAAGTATTGAAAAATATCAAAACTGAAAGAAATATCCAAAAATTGAGAAATCGACAAACCAATAAAGCGAAGTCGAAAAATTGAGAAACAAAAAAGTCAAAAAAGCAGAGTCTAAAAATCGCAAACTTAAAAAATCGAAAAATTGAAAAATCAAAAACCTGAATAATCGAAAAATTGAAGAATTGAAGAACTGAAAAATCGAAACTTTGAGAAGTGGGAAAATCAAAAATAGATTAATTGAGAAATCAGAAAACTGAAAATTTAACGCAAAAATTTGAAAAATTCAAAAATTTAAATACTGAAGAACTGAAAAGTCAAAAAATCGAGAAATCGAAAAAACTAAAATTTAAAACAATGAATAATTAAAATATCGCAAAATTGAAGAATCGAGAGATCCAATTCAATTTGAAAAATTGAAAAATCGGGGCATTGAAAAATTGGAAAATCCAGAAATTGAAAAGCTCAAAAGAAAAAAATCGAAAAACCGAGAAATCCAAAAATCGAAACATCGAAAAATTCAAAAAATGAGACTTCGAGAAATCGAAAAATCGGAGGATCGAGAAATTGAGGAGTCGGAAGCCGAAAAGGAAAGTTAAAAATTGAAAAATTGAGAAATTGAACAATCAAAACAACGAAACATCTGAATTCGATAAATTGAGAAATTAAAAAATTGAATAATCGAAAAATTTTAAAAAAGAAAAACTGGAAAATCAAAAATTAAAATTCAAAAAATCGAAAAATGAAAAATTGAAATACATATAGAAGAACTGAAAACTCGGGATATCGAAAAACCTAGAATTTTAAAAAATGAAATATTAAAACATCGAAAAGTTTAAAAATTGAGAAATCGAAGCATTAAACAGTCCCAGAATTGAAAAATCTAAAGTTTACAATAAATTGAAAATCCAAAAAGGAAAAAAGCGAGAAATCAAAAAAAATCCATCAATTCAAAAATCGAAAAATTGAAATATTGAAAACTGAAAGAAATATTCAAAAAATTGAGAAATTAAAAAATTGGAAAATTGAGAAATCGAAAATCTAAAAAAGCAAAATTGAAAAATCGTAATCTTAAAAAATCGAAAAATTGAGGAATTGAAGATGTGAAAAATCGAAACTTTAGGAAATCCAGAAATGGACAAATAAAAAAAATACTTTAGAAATCGGCAAACTGAAAATTTAGAAACGTGAAAATTTGAAAAATTGAAAAATCGAAATATTTAAAAACCGTAAAATTGAAGAGGACAAAAATTGAGAAATCGTATCATTGAAACATCGTAAGATTGAGAAGTCGAAAAATAAAAAAAATCGAGAAATAGAAAATTTAAGGAATGGAGGAATCGGAAAAGCCCAAAATTGAAATATTGAAAAATTGAGACATTTAAAGTTGAAAAATCGAGAAATCGACAAGCCGAAAAATCCCAATAGCGTATTTAGGCATAAATCACAAGATCAGGACTATATATAGGACTATACTATATATATATTATAAGTTATTTAATGAATTGCTTTCTTGTTTTATGTAATAGGAGTTTCTTTTCCGTTAATAAACTATTATTACTATTATTATTATTCTACTTTTTAAAATTTAAATACATAACATTATAAATTGGAAAATGTTGATTTTTTTTTCCAAAAATCTTGACGTCTAAAGTGAAAACTCGACACGGATGCATAAACCGTAAACGGGGCGAAACTACAATTTTACTATTGTAAAATTTGGAGATTGCGTCATTTCATTGTTCGTGACAAATTTTGGAGAGTGTAATTTGATAATACAATTTGAAATGTAAATTTTGTCATTCGGGAACATTATGTATTAAATCGTTAAGATGTTCAAGAACTTTGTTCACTTATTCGTTGTAAAGTCCAATGGTCGAAATGGGTTAGTTCTTCGTAGTGGATGTATTGTATCACATCAACTGTAAGGAATATCGGTTTATAGATAAATCGCTTAAAGCCGATATTGGCCTGAGTGTGCTTTGGTCTGTAGATCAAACAAGTTCTCAGGCGACGAAAAATTGCATGTGGAGGGAGACTTCGGATTACAAATCGTGCCAAGAAAGACATATTTGGGAGAGATGGATTTTCAGGTGCTTGACTAGCGGTAATTTTAAATAGTTTGCTGTCGTTCGCGAAGTGAAGAACACAATTTCATTAAAATGATAATTATAAAATTATCATAATCACTATTGGTGTTAATTAACACAAAATGGCGCGCAAGTTATCAGTTGATTTCGTTAATAAGTTAATAGAAACCTATATGGGATTTTTTCATGCCTTAGAAAATTAAAAAGTAAAAAATACAATACCAAAAATTTTAAAATGCGGTTTACGAAAAATTAGTTGACCTGTGCAAAGAAGAAAATTTTGGAAACGCTGACAAATATGACATCTCAAAAAAAATAACACTTGAAGAAGTGCTTTCGGCGTAATATTTTTGATGCTCGCGTGAACAAAATACTCTATGTCAGTGTGCAGTGCGCAAAGAGTTAACTGTGCAGATCTAGCCGAAAATCCGAAAACCAAATCGCTGTGTGTAGGGCCAGCATAACGGAAGTAATAAATCATCCCATCGGTTGAAGAACGTTGGGTCGGTGCACTGATGTCGGTGTTATATCCCGAGAGGGGCCCAATACACCCAATAAAATGGAACAGACAAAATAAAGCTTCAAACATGATTATTTTTATACTAAAATTCTGAAGTTTATAAAATGCACATTTTATTTATTTATTTATTTTATCTTGTTTTCGAACTATAATAAACATTTCAAACAATGTCTGTAACTTATTTTAATATAAATTATATTCATGTGGTTAACAAAATCAGATGTAATATTAGTGTGATTTTGACCTTATTCTAGATTTTATTACAGCAGAACGGCGTATCCTTTTTAAATTTTGGAAGTTACGGAAACTAATTCAAGAAACAATTTGTTATCTCGTATTTTTGGAACAAAATCTACCAAAATGTCCGATAACAGCAATTGTTTTTCATAGAAACAAACAGTCTTCAAAGCAGCCTTTAACAACTCGATATTACAAACATGCCTCTTAAGTTCTTTATGCGTTTTTTTCTCTCTTGTAATTATCTATTTGTAATGTTAACGCCGAAAGTTTATGTCATTCTGTTATTTACTTTGAACATATATTTTCATTTTGTGTTAATATTTTTGTAACACCACGAATCTAAATTTTACTTAAAATCTTGTTTTACTTTAATCTTGTAAAACTAAACAATTATACCAGTTTAAAAACCCTTGGAAAGTTTCTGTCAGTCTTCGGATATAGTCAAATAAAAATATGCGTCAAATTCATTTAAATTCAATTCTTTCTTATCACGTTACAACGCGTTGCTTCATATTTTTTATGTCAAGTATATTTTCATATTTTGTACATATATGTTTATACACATTACTGTTTACGGAACAATGTTAATTATGGATTTATGGATAACTCCTCGTATAAGAGCAGAGTGAAGGGTGTTTGCCTTTGCTAATGTTTGATGGCGCCATCTGATTTAGAGTAAAATAAACCTAAAACGTTCGCTCACTGTAGTGAAAATGCGCGTTGACGAAAAATTTGTCTCACGCCCCCTGGATTCCTTGTCCTAAAGCTCACTATTTAGGCGAAGTAAAATTTGTATTAGGTTGTCCAACTATAATATACTTAAACAATGGTTCTATTTAAGATATGAAGCCTTTAGGCAACCAGTTATACAAATGCGTGTAATATTTATCGTGAGTCCTTGAGCATTTAGTAAAGTCCAAAACTGAGAGGCGGCACGTTTCCATCACCTACTTTGACCATATAATCATTTATAGAAACTATGTAAATGGCCAGTAAATGTTTTGGATACAAGATAAATGAAAAATTAGCTGCATTAGCTTCGAAAACGAATCGAGATAAAGTGGTGAAGATCTTCTACGTAATCTTACCTCTCCCTTGGCCGTGCGCTTGCGCCAACGGTATCACCTTCACCCCTTGCAACGCCTTGATGTTGATCGCCGTCCCCTGAAACCCAGCCGGCAGCAAGATCTGCTGCGCCACGATCTGCCCCCCTTGCCCCTGACTCGCCAGCACCACTCGCTGCGTGTTCGTCGCCGTGCTCGTCTGCAACCTCACCGGGTGTCCTTCCAGCACTATGTGTCCTTGAGTCATACTCTGGTTCGTCGCACTTTTCACGCCCGAACTGAACACGACCTGCTGCGGCGCCTGCACTTTGAGCTGCGGCCCCAACACCACGTTCTGCTGATTGATGATGTTGATGTTCTGCGCATTCTGCTGCGTCGTCGGCAGCCCTTTGACCGCATTCTGCAGCACCAGCGAGCCCCCGCTGGTGTTCGGTTGCGTCTGAAGGATCACGTTCTGGCCCTGGATATTCTGTATCGTGGTTCCCTTACTCGCCAGCAGCACGGGTTTGCCGCCGATGTGAGTCAGGTTCAGGTTGGTGGCGTTCACCATGCGGATCGTGTTGGCGTTAGCGGCCAACGTCACGGGTTTCGACGTCAGAGAGATGTTCTTCGCCGATGCCAGCTTGACTTGGTTCTGTTGGCTCATGAAGATCTTCGGTTGGACGATCTTCTGGCCGTCGCTGGTTATCAGCTTGGCGTTGATGAGTTGCTGGGTGATCTTTGGAGGGAATTTGGCGGTGGTCACGGGCTGCGGCTGGGAGGGCTTGCTGGTGGTGATTCGTGCAGCGGGTTTCGTCACCGTGGTGGTGATGGTGCTGGTGACGGGGGCCGGGGCGGTGGTGGTGGTTGTAGTCGTGGTGGTGGTTGTGGTGGCGACGACTAGTTTCGGCTGGCTGGTTATGATGATGTTGTTCTGGGAAGCAACGGCGAACTGGGCTATGGGGTTCTGCTTAGACGTGCCCGTGAGTTGGATGATGTTGGTGGGACCGCCTTTCGTACCAGAGACACGCAGAGTAGTACCTTGAAAATGAAAAAAAAAAAGAATTATGTACATAGGTCTTACACCAGTCACAATTTAAAGTGTCTTCATTTTTTCCTAAATTTTGACACGATTGAGTATTATATTGCAGGATTTAAACCCTCAGTAGTTGACACTACAGCAACCGTTATTAATTCTATGAAAGTTAATATGTAAATCAGCACGGTGTTTCAGATCTATAACCCCTTTACCGAATAGATGGAATGATCACGTGCCTATAAAGTAAGTGTCTAAGCTTACAAGGTAACATCAAAAACGACAACTTTTGTGGTAAACTAATCGACGATTTGACATGCAAAACCAACTTTCATAAGGAAAAAGAAACTAATTTCGAACGGGGACCTAATTAGGAATTAAATTTAGGAAAGTCCATTCGAAAAGTCCAAGAGGCGCTGTCCCCTAGTGGTGAGTTACTGAAAATATCGGTAAAGATCGAACTGTTCTATAGGTTTCGATTTAGTAATCTACAAAAATATATAGGTTTTACTACATTTTGCCTACTACTCTAGCCGATCGCAATGCTTGTCTACCCACAACTGCACGAAAACCCAGCTATAGCTGTCACGGTCTCAAAGTAGCACAGCAATAAAGGTGCGCAGAATACAAAATTACGAACTAGACAGTTCACTTTTAAATTTAAGGGATGGACATTCCTCAGTGGCGTACGTCAGACATGGTTTTCATGTGACTTTTATACATAGGTTTTGTACATTTTGATTTCGACTCTAAATGACACAAAGGCGCTGAGCAGAAACTTGGCAAAGTAGAGAAAATATACTAGAATGGTACACTCTGATGTTCAAATTTTATTTGTATTTAATATTTTAACTTCGGTGGTATCCCTATTCCAAGCACCTGCCATACGCTACTGGAGAAAAATAAATTGCCGGATCGGGAGTTATATGTCAGTGAATAGCAAGAGATTTTATCAAGATTGAAGTTTTATTAGTGAAATACTGGACCCTTAGCAACTAGTATTCCATCATTCAATGAAATACTGATTCATTTTAACAACACCAAAAACCGGTATTACTAGGTAGAAGATAAACAGGAATAAGGGAAAAAATAATACGTTTGTGTCTGTTCGAATGATGTCCCAAGTTTTATTTTTTTTATGCTCTTTTTTAACTTTCATTTTCTTCTTCATTGACTACATATTAATAATACTACGAGGCAACCCATAAGACCCCCCCCATGGGTTTTCTAGTGTATACGGTGCTGACTCGTCATCGGTGAAGGCGGAGGGGTTAACTCTATATTATCTTGATTTAAAAATCAACATTTTACAACACATTTTGAAAGTTCATTTTAGAAAGTACAAAATTCGGTTGCTCTGAAGTTCTGTACACAGAGTTACGAACATGATAAATCACTGATCAGAATTCATGTAGGATTACAAATAATGTTGTTATTCAAATCCATTTATTTATTTATTTTTTTGATTGTCTCTGAACATGTCTTAATTTTTGGAAGAATTCAATAATATGCAATAATATTGAATTTGTCTCATTAAACATTTATTTATACCGTGAGGTTTTTTTTTCTCTGAACATAGGATAAATAATGTTAAGTTGGTTGCATACCTGCTTGTAATAGCACAGATTACGGATACCAGATGGTTCACTTGTGGGCGTAACTGTCCGCAACTTTTCCGTGCGCATGACACTAAAATTGGTTCAGCACTTTTAAATCTCTTTGAAACTGGTTCGACAGCTTAACACGCAAAATAATATTTACAATGAAGCAGATATAAGAATAAAAGTTTAGGTAATAATTCAGGGAATAAATAACGTACAAGGATTAATTTCTACGTTTTTTGGTTACGAAGGGATTTTTTAAAAGTTTTAAAATAATCAGAAAATTGGTTAAATAAATCCTACCTGCATTAAACTGTATTATAGTATCGTTTAGTAAATATATCTTGTCTATAATGCCTGATTTTGTAAATGAATAAAAGAGTAAAACATTTTCCCTTCTTTTCCTTTAAACTCGTTTCAGTCATTTACGGACAAACTATTTGTCAACTGTTTAACAACAAAGTTCAGAAAGGCAAGCGCAGCAAATTTCATTAACTATTCCCTCCAATTCTTCTAACTTTCGGTAACCCTTTAAGCCGTATAATTAAAGAGGTTACGTTTATTCACCATGCAAAAATTTTAACACCACTTTCTTCTTAGCACTATATTCGAGAGTCCGTGTTTTTTATGCTCTAAAATTTTTTAATGCCGATGCATGTGTCCGCAATTCTTTTCAGAGGAAATTGTGAAATGTTAAGCATTTGTAATAATCATAAATCATTTTGTGTAAACCAAAAAAGTATTTTGTTCGTTTTTTCTTCACTTAGAACCTCATCCCTTGCATCGTCGCTGTAATTTTTCTCTGACCGCCGCGCTTTTAAATTCAAAGCTTGCGAACCAATTTTGGTAGAGCGTGCGTAGTAGCGTGAATACCGCTTGAAATCTCGGGACACCGACTTCAAAGTGCCGATAGCTGAGTGAACTATCTGGTATCCGTAATCTGTGGTAATAGATTGACTTGGACTTTTAAAAACTGAACATAAAATCTGATCGAGATTTAGGTTATGTCAAAGATGGCTTCATGTTATGGTATTGTAATAAGTACAAGTTTAAAGAACAGAAAATTTACGTTATTGACCTTTTTAAAACAATTTCGTCAAAAATTTTAATGGAAATGTCATCGTTGACATGACCTACTCCTGAATTATTGCGAATATTATGTTCAGTTTTTAAAACTAACTACAAATCAAAGACTTCAAATATATATTTGAAGTCTTTGCTACAAATCAATACATTGGAGGCTGGATATGCAACTCAACATACATGAATTATCCTAAGTATATTCAGGGGAAAAAAACATAACGGTATATTTACGAATATTTCCGAGTGTAATCTAGGAAAGGTTCCATTTGACAAATGTGTACTTTGACATTTGGTTTACATTTATGGTGTGAACTGCAAGATGTTTATATATATTTTTTTCTTTTTCTCTCCCAAAAATTGATAACGTTATCCACAATTTTGCTGAGTGAATTAATTCAAAATCTGCAAAATAATACGCTTTCTACTTATGGTCGATTCTATTCTTCTTTTTAATCATATACAGGGTGTTCACTTTATTTGTTCACGACTGAATATTTCTACATAGGCAACCCATTTTACGTTTCATAAACAGCTTGGGAGGGGCTAGCATAGGCCAAGACAAAATTGATTTGGCATATTACATACCTTCTAACAAAATAAAGGGCGGGTCGGCGCGGTTAGTACTTGCTAAGATAAGACTGGTTTTGGTAAATAATATATCCTCTAAGAAAATAGACGGCGGGTGGGCGGGGCTAGTACAGGCTAAGATAAAACTGATCTGGAATATGACCTTCTAAGAAAATAAAGGGCGGGTGGGTGGGGCTAATATTTGCTAAGATAAGACTGATTTTGGCAAATGACACACTGTAAGAAAATAAAGGGCGGGTGGGCGGGGCTAATACTTGCTAAGATAAGATTGATTTTGGCAAATGAGACCTTCTAAGAAAATAAAGGGCGGGTGAGTGGCGCTAGTACATGCCAATTGAGCACAAGTCTAAATGAGTTTAAAAAATTAAAACCTATTGATTACGATCAATGACCTGAATTAAATAGCTTTCTAGACAGTTTTATAAGCAACCAGCAGCCCCACTCACCCACCCTCTCTTTATTCTAGATACTACTACTTAATATTGTTCGGTCTTACCTTAACTGGTACTAACCCCGCCCGCCCGCCCTTTATTTTTTTAGAGGCTATGTCATTTTTCAAAATCAGTAATATCTTCGGCTGTACTAGCCCCGCCTACCCGCCCTCTATTTTTTTAGAGGGTATATCATTTGCCGAAATCAGTCATATCTTAGGAAGTACTACTCCGCTTCGGCTGATTACAAAACATTAACATGATTTTATTTCTCTGATCTCCACAAAAAACTTGAATTGAGGTTTTACAGGATTTTTTTTTACAAAAAATTAAAAATTATTATTAGTGTTAAACAGATTTATTTCTGCTTCAAGGGCGAAGAAGGTTCTGCATAAATAACTTTCATATTCTCTTTTTATACTATACAGTGCCTTCTTTTAACGCTAGCCGTAGGGATTGAAGTGTAAAAACTTTTGGTAATGTTATTGAGTTTACTGGCAGGGATTTTCAAGTGAAATTTCAAACCGCTATTAAAACGGCACTAAAACGTTATTGTAACCGAAACTACTGATATCAATATCTTCTACCAAAAAATGTTTGAATGTTAACTAGCGCCCTCTGGCCGTTCGCAACTAGAGTCGTCACAATTCCGAAGTAGCACAGCGAGTCATCCGGATCTGACAATTTACCTTTCATCAGTGGCGTATCGCAGGCGCTTGGAATAGAGGTGACACCAAAGTGTGTCGTTTTAGTATATCTTTTCGACTTTGTCAAGTTTCTGCTCAGAGCCTTTGTGTCATTTAGGCCCGATTTATATAATCATTTAATAACAGCTGCCCGACGTACGCCACTGAGTGACCTCCATCCTTTAAATTTAAAAGTGGACTGTATCAGTCGCAATTCGTCTTTCGCGCAGATTTATGGGTGTGCTACCTAGTGGCCGTGACGACTCTACCCACACAGCACATAAATGAAGATGATGATTCCACAATTCAGTTTTAGAACAAGGTTTCTGGACTTATTTACCCCATTGAAGATTTTTAGTGTTATAGATGGTATCACAAGAAAGCTAACAGTTTCTTTGGGTTACCTCCTATCTCAAAACGCAAACAATTGCAGCACTTCCTTAAAAATTGTATGAACGTGTCCATTTAAGATGATCTAAAAATCGATGAAATTTATAATTTTTTTCATTGAAAACTGCACACGAATATAAATTAGGAGGACCCTTAGACTCAAGTTTGATCATTTGAAATATAATTTTTTTTAAAGCGATAAATCTCAAGTTTTTAAATAACTCCCGAAACCGGGATGATTCCCCATGTATGTAAGACAGGACGAAACCAAATCAGACGCGAACCTTACGAAATTTAAGGCGAATAATTTCCTGTGGAAATAATAAAGTAGAAAATGGTTATCTAAAAAGAATGTGAGGAAATCATTTTTACGACGAATTAGATCCATTGAGGAGCTATGATTGTTGTCAATAAAAAAAAATCTAAAGAAATTTACAAAGCCACAAACATAAGTTGTTGTCGCTGCCGTCTAAACTATAGAAATCATACTTGCAATTCATCACCCTACCTTGAGGTAACGACCCATGCTGCTTCTGATGCGCCAACAAGCTCTCCACGGAAATCACCTGACCCGCCGCATTCGTCAACACCTTCGCCACAACCGGACTCTGCGTCGTCGCTAGTCCCGCTTTCGACCCTTCTACAATCAACGAATCAATCAAACCAATCCTTACCCCTTGAACCGGTACCTACCAATCGTAACACTCTTCGCTTGCGCCTGCTGCCCCACCACTTGCTTCTGCATCGCCTTCTGTTTCAAAATAATCTGTTGCTGCTGTTGCTGTTGCTGCGAATTCAACACCGTCGCCTGCGGCAATATCTTCTGCTTAATCGTCTGTAAGATCTGCTGCTGTTGAGCGGGCGTCAACGTCGCTTGCGTCTTTATCTGTATCTGCTCCGGCAACGCCCCGCCCATTTTCGTAGGCTCCGCCTGTGTTACGCCCCTTACCAGCGTCACATTCTTGATACTCTGAAGCTGTTGTGGCGTGATGCTCTGTATGAATTGTGGCTGTGTAGTTTTAACCTCAGTCTTTTCTCCCTCTTTAATGACTTGTTTCTGTTTGGCTTGTAGGGTTTGGAGGAGCTGTTGGGTAACTACTTGGGATTGGTTGAGTTGTTTCGGGGGTGTGGCGCGTTGTTCTGGTACCTGTTTGATAACGGGGTTGGTCGAAGGGATGATCAGAGATTTACCTTGGGTGGGGGAGATGATTTTCACTAAACCTTTAGGTTTGGGAGGGGTTTGTTTGATGGTGGGACTAGACGTGGAAACTCGGCTTTGCACGATGGCTTGTAAGGCTTCGTTGATTTCTTTATCTTCGGGAGTGGGAACTTTCTCTTGATTGGAGATGAGGAGGGAGTTAGTTTTAGGGGGCGGAGTCTCGACGGTTTTTACTTTGTTGACTACGCCCTTCTTCTCTTCGTTTTTGATGACTTTGTTGACTTTGTCGGGTTTCGTTTTGGGTTTGGGGGGTGCTTTCTTGTTGGTGGCTTTTTTGCTTTTGTTGAGACCTTGATACTGTTGGTGGATGCGCTCGAAATCTTCTTCGGTGCGATTTCTGTGCAAATAAATCCAGATTTTACGTTTCGGGTCGTACTTGACGCAAGGATCGAACTGTGTGTGCATACGATCTAACGCTCCGCTCACAACAGACTGAAGGACGTTATCAGGGGCAGTACTGGAAATATACTGGGAGCTTTTGAGCAATTCGCAAATGTCTGCACGTGTGCCTTCTCCGTTGGGTAATCTCGCCGTCGCGTCTCTAACCAATGACAAAATCGTGACGAAATTCGGCCTGTCAGCGTTAAGCATCGTGTGTCCTCGCGCTTTCGTGTTGCCAACTGAAGCATTGTAAATTCCCTTCAGCGGGCCCACAACGCTTTCGTAACCGTTGCATCTATACGTAAACGCTTTGTGTGGATTGTCGTACCGTTTGCGTTCTTGTTCACGGAAATCTTTGATTTCGTCACACGTGGCTTTGCGCACCGTCCAATTGGTCGGACAGCGAGGCGGAGGCGGAGTCTGCGACCTATCGGAAAGCTCCACGTCGAGTTCGTCTCTGTCCTTGTCCTTATTGCTCTTGCCTTCGCTCCGATGCTCCAACCAGTAGTGGCACAAAGGCGCCAACAGAGCATCCGAGTCACGGCCGGCCCCTATCCACTGATACATATCTAGCGACATTTTATACTCCATGTACGGGACAAAATCGTCCGGCTGCTCAGGAGAATTACCGCATAGAAAATTAATAGCACTTTTTAGCAAGCCGATCCAGTTATCGGACAAACTGTACCAATCGTTCAACGGACTTATAGGGTTTTCCTGCCACGATTTCAATCTGTCCTCGAGGGTGGACAAACTCATCCGGTGCTCGTTCGTCGAGCAGATGATGTCCCTGACCAACGACAAGAAATTCGAGTGGGTTTCCTGCATGAGCTCCGGTTTGTTGTTCAGTTCGAGAATATCGATGTCGGAGTTATCCAGATCGATGGGTATTTCCATCATGTCGATCCCCTCTAGGTCTGAAATCGTTACAGGTGTTACCTTCCCGTACTGCGAGAAGGCGTTCGTTTTTATCACGTTGCTGCTAGTAGTGGGCGGAGTCTCCACCTTCGGGGGCGTGAACAGTTCCGGTTTCACCTCACTTTTCGCGTTTTTGGGCACGGCTTTCACGGTTCGGTTCGTTTTCACTTTTTTCACGTGATTCACACTAACCGTGTCGACGAACGAATCGGAATCGGACTCGATCTCAGAGTTCGAACTGTGTCCGGTGTAGTTATTCGGTGAATGCGTGCTTAACCTAACCTCTTTCTTCTTCTTTTTAACTAACTTATTGTCGTGATGCTTCTGCGCGAAAGTCATGTTTTTCATGTAAGGCAACTGTGTCCTATTTACAATGTCCGTGACGCTTATACCTTTCGTGTTGTACTCCGGATCCTCGTACCTTTCCAATTTTCGTCGCTTGTGTTGAGAAATGAGCGTTTTGTACGTATCGTCGGTTATATAAAAGGGGTTGCGTAAAGGCGTTATGAACTTTTCCAAATCTAGGGCGGTGGCTTTCGTCGACATCGTCGACATGTACACGTCGGAGTTGGCGATGTAGTTATTCCGGATACTGTTCATGTGCCGCCTCTGCTTTCGCGACAGAGGCACCGGGGGTCCTTCAGGATAATTCTCATCCGGCGAACAATACCTGTCTTCGGTTTTCGCTTGGATCGAGGCTAGAATTTGAAAGTACCTACGTTTCGTCCTATGCACTATATAATTCAAATTAGGATCGTGGTTTTTTTCCACCTTCGGTTCCACACCCGGCGGTAGATTATTAATCTGACTGACCAACTTCCTCTGAGATTCGACGACATCCTGTTTAAGCTTCTCCCGGAATTTCTTATACCTGAACATGGCTTCTTTCTTTTGGGCTTTTTTGATAATCCTACGCATGTTGGCGATGTCGGGTCGGAAATAACCGGCTTTGAGGTCCTCGTGGAACTTTTCCAGTGGACTATTGAAGCGAAAAGTTTCACAGTCGAAAAGTTTCTGTAACGTTTTGTTTTTCTCGTCGTCGTCGTTGTCGGGGAAATTTGGTAGAAATGTCTGCAGGTGTTGTTTGTGGACGTCGGATAAAGAATTCCACGTTTCGGTTGATAGAACTGAAAGGAAGATGTCTTTTCGTTCACACAGGCCCTGAGGTAATTGCAGTTTGGTTCCACATATTTCGGCGGTTTCCATTCCATCGTCGTCGGAGGATTCGGTTGAATAGTCTGAGGAGGAGTCATCCGTGCTGTCCGTGTCCATCTTATCCCCTACAACATGAAGCGATTATTGGACTTTATTAAATATGATTTTTTTAGGGGCTTTATATTTTAAGTATTTTAAATTCATAGAAAAATATTAGCAATTTAAGTTTGATCTAATTAGTAGCAGTAAATATGTATTTCAATTTGAATACTGATAAAACGACGTAATTAGTTCAATAAATTAGCCTAGCGACTTATCTTTATTTCAATGATTTTCTGCAACTCAATTAACAATGTCCTAAAAGTTATCGAAGTATGCTAAACTTGTTTTTATGCAGTTTTTTCACGTCCCTTTTTTCTTTTAAATGAAACAATTCTCATATTTTGGTTTTGCATTTTGACGCTGCTTCAAAAAACTCAATTTCTATTTTCTTCTTTAACCTATACATTCTATTCAAAAACATCGTCCACCTTATTATTACTATTGTTACAAAAAGTCGGCAAAGCGTTCTCTCTTGTAAACCATATTCTGTCTATTGAAGTAATGTTCACACAGACAAGATTATTTTAAAAAACGTTCAGAGATTCACCGTAAAGTAAAAATTATGCACGAACTTCTACCGCATCAAAAATTGAGAATCGTAGAATGAAAAACTAGTATGAACTATGTGCACCGATTTAAAAAAAAATCACCGCTTCAAAAACATGAAACACTCCAGGTAAGTTAGAACAAAAAAAAACTTCCTACTTTCTACTAACATAATACGCGTATTGATTTTGCGAGATTTTACTTTTTGTAAAAACAATATAGTATAGAAAGTACTAGTCACAGTGTACCCCCCCGAGAAGCTTTCACATTAAAAAGACATTTGGGGCTCTCGTGAAGGTTTTACATTTTTACAAAACACCGTTGAGACCCCCGACAAGGTTTTACATTTTTAAAAAACAGTTGGGACCCCTGAGGTTTCACATTCTTAAAAAAAACATTTCGGGCCCCCGAAAAGGTTTCACATTAAAAAAAGACAGATGGACCCCCTGAGAAGGTCTCACATTAAAAAAAAAAGACATTTGGGGCTCCCGAGAAGGTTTTACATTTAAAAAAAAAAAAGGCCCTCGAGGAGATTTCACATACTTAAAAAAAGGCATTTGGCGCCCCGAAAAAGCTTCACATTAAAATAAACATTTGTCGCCTCCGAAAAGGTTTTACATTTTTAAAAAAGACAATTGGGATCCCCGAAGTTTCATATTCTTAAAAAAATACATTTGGGTCCAATGAGGTTTTAGATTTTTAAAAAAGACAGTTGGGACTACCGACAAGGTTTCTCATTCTAAAAAACATTTGGTGCCCCCGAGAAGGTTTAACATTTTTAAAAAAGATAGCTGGGACCCCCGAGAAAGTTTCACATTCTTAAAAAAAAAACTTTGGCTACCCCGGGAAGGTTTCACATAAAAAAAAAGACATTTGGGGCCCTCGAGAAGGTTTCACATTTTTAAAAAAGACAGATGGGACTCCCGAGAAGGTTTCATATTAAAAAAAATACATTTGGGTCCCCTGAGGTTTTACATTTTTTAAAAAAGACATTTGGGGCTCCCAAGAAGGTTTCACATTTTTAAAAAGACAGTTGAGACCCCCGACAGGGTTTTATATTTTTACAAAAGACAACTGGAACCCCCGAGAAGGATTCATATTCTTAAAAAAATACATTTGGGTCCCTCGAGAAGTTTTTACATTTTTAAAAAAGACAGATGGGACCTCTGAGGCTTCATATTAAAAAAAAAAAATACATTTGAACCCCCTGAGGTTTTACATTTTTAAAAAAAGATTGGGACTCCCTAGAAGGTTTCACATTTTTAAAAATGACAGATGGGACCCCCTAGAAGGTTTCACATTCTTAAAAAAAAAACAAAAAACATTTGGGCCCCGTGAGGTTTTACATTTTAAAAAAAAGACATTTGGGGGTCCCGAGAAGGTTTTATATTTAAAAAAAAAAACGATGGGACCCCTGAGGTTTCACATTAAAAAAAATACATTTGGCCCCCCTGAGGTTTTACATTGACAAAAAAAGACATTTGGGGCTCCCGAAAAGGTTTTACATTTTTAAAAAAGACAATTGAGACCCCCGACAAGGTTTTACAATTTTTAAAAAAGACAATTGGGACCTCCGAGAAGGTTTCATATTCTTAAAAAAATACATTTGGGCCCCCGAGAAGGTTTTACATTTGTGAAAAGACAGATGGGACCTCCGAGAAGGTTTCACATTTAAAAGAAATACATTTGAACCCCCGGAGGTTTCACATTTTTAAAAAAGACAGTTGAGACCCCCGAGGTTTCACATTAAAAAAAAAAATACATTTGGGCCCCCTGACGTTTTACATAAAAAAAAGACATTTGGAGCTCCCGAGGTTTTACATTTTTAAAAAAGAAAATTGGGACCCCCGAGAAGGTTTTACATTTTTAAAAAAAGACAAAAGGGACCACCGAGAACGTTTCACATTCTTAAAAAAATATGTACATTTGGGTCCCCCAAGGTTTAGATTTTTAAAAAAGACAGTTGGCATTCCCGACAAGGTTTCACATTCTTAAAAATATTGGTCCAAGTACTCGACAGAACTTCTTTCACCTTACAATCCAACAAATTCCTGTTCGAAAAATTATAGAAAATGTGTGTTTTCTGATAACCTTTATATGTATAGTAAAAATTAGTAGGGTAAATGACACCTCGCCGCGGGGGTACAAGTTCCAAGAAGGCGCCGTCGGCAGATATACAAATGATATGAAATATATTTAAAGGAAATAACCAACGGAAAAGAGTGTATTACTGTCAGTGTACATGCTTAGCTTCGATTGTTTATGTTTATACATCGAAAGAATGTCACGTAGAAATTTGTTTAATTTGAATGATTTGTCTCCTCAAAACAGAAGACTAAAATTATTAAGTAAGCCACAATATAACAAAATGCTTTAAATATGATTATTATGATTATTATTCTTATTTGATAATTAATAAAAACGTGGAAATTCTCACATTTTCTATAAAATGACGTTCTTAATTCGATCAATAAAAAAATGGTCGAAGGCTATAAATATAATTCGACAAATCCAGCTTTTTAAAAAAATATAAAATTTGATTTTACGATTTTCGTTTTGTGATAACCGTTGTAAAGTAATAACCAGAGGAATAAAGAAGACCCTTTGTCCTTCAGCAGCTTCAAGTGTCTATTTATGTTTCCACATTGAAAGAATGTCACGTAGAAATTAGTTTGATTTGAATGAGTTTGCCTTTTCCAAACAGGAATAAAATTATTAATTAAACCACTATCGAACAAAATGTTCTGAATATCATAATTCGTGCGTATTCTTCAGATTTTCGAGAAAATGGGGTGACTCGTTCTTAATTTGACCAATAAAAAATTTATGAGGACGTCATCAACATGGATAATTCTAGTTCATAGCGTTGTACCAATGCAAAAAAAAGGAAATCATCAAATTATTGGTGGGGTGATTAGCCAAATTTTGGTTAGCATTTAACCATCTACATGATATTTCTAATACATATGTATACAAAGTTTAACAACAATCGATCCAACAGTTTCAGAGATTACGCGTCTAATAAAAATGGATACAGATACCAGACGGAAACGGGAAGTCACTACTTTTTTCGTACTCTAGGGGTCATGAAACGTCGAGAAAATATAAAAGTGGCAATTCGTCCGATAGCTTACGCTCGCGAAGTAAAAATAATTTGTTGTGAGGTCGAAACAAATTCCTAAACGAATAATATTCGAGCATTAAACAATAAATTACATTTTTATTGTACCTTTCTCAAGTGTTTCTTATAATAATAATCGATGCGCTGCGCGTCAAAGTGTTACTAAGCAACGCGTTTTAAAAAATATTCTGTAATTATTAACGCCCTCGAGTTATTAATAGTGAACATAATAAACAAAAACCATTTCAATGCCTTGCGCCATAAATGATCTCTCACTAAATAAGATCAGGGGCAAGTCCATTTTATATACTTTGTTAAAGAATACCGTATTTTATCATTATACTGTTACTTCTTTACTTCAAGACATTCTTTTCTTTTTTGTAGTGTCATTTGAAACACTAAAATACTCCGACGTTTCTACGATTTTATTAAAATAAGTTACAATCTGCAACTACTTGTCTCTGTGACATTTTTTTCTCATATCAACATGTTAATTACCACAGTTGCCCTCTAGTACCCAATGTGTTCAATTTAAAAAAATATCATTGATTACCTACGTACCTTTTCCGCTGATTTTATTTATTTAGACTTATATAAGATTTATGCACGTAGTAAATTTTGTATTAATTAATTAGTAGTGTTTTTGGCGTGGGTTGTCTTCAGCAACAACCAACACAAACGCCGGAGGCTTAACAACGAACTTTAACACGACTGGAAACAATAAGTACTCTAATACAAACTACTTCTCAACTTCTATCCCGACTGTGTTGTTCAAGAGGCCATTACCCGACTGTTGTTAATCTTAAAACCTATTTAAAACTACCCCTTTATGGAATGTTTCTGCGTCTCGCGCAGTCTATCACCAGAATTTTCTCGACTCTACTGTTTCCATTGCTCTCTAAACATCCAAATATTTCGTGGTTCCGCAAGTGTCTTGTTCTGTTTCACTACCGTTAGATGTCTCTAACCGCAGTTCTCCAAAGAGAATCTTACAGAATTTGTGAGATTAATTATGAAATGTACTTGTACAAAATTAATTTTTGTATGCGTTAAAATAAAATAGTAGTAAAGTTATATTATTTTTTTGACACCATATACTGATATTTTCTGCGCCTGCGTTCACTAGAATATACCTGGTATGAAAGATAAAAGTGGGAAAATCTGAAAAAAGAAGAAGAAATGGACGACATAGTTAAGGAATATGGCAATGAAACTAGAAGAAATAGAGGAGAAAATCAGAATAATATGGGGAAAAATTAGAGGGATAGAACTGGAATAAACAATTTATAAAATAAAACTCGGTGGAAAAGCACCCAGAACAAATGAATTACTACTGATGATTAAATATTTACATGA